CAGTGGGGCTTAAACCTTGTTCTCTCTGTACTAACAAGGCCCCCCCATGAACCTTTAGCTTCCTGCTCCATGTCTCTCCTTTCCATGAAGATTGCTTTCCTTGTAGCTGTTACCTCAGCTAGAAGAGTTGGCGAGCTTGGAGCAATGATGGCAGAGCCTTCTTACACTGTATTCCATAAGGATGTTTCTTTTCATCTATACCCCAAATTCACTCCTGAAGTAGTTTCAGAATTTCACTTTAACCAATCGATTCACTTGCCTGTGTTCTTCCCAAAACTGCATATTTCTGCCGAAGAACGAAGACTCCACTCCCTCAATGTTCAGCAGACCTTGGCCTTTTACCTGCAAAAAACAAAACCCATCAGGAAATCCCTGAGACTATTCATCACTATATCAGAAAGAATCAGGGGGCGTGCTATCTCCACCCAGAGAATCTCCAAATGGATCTCTGGCTGCATTCTACTCTGCTATCAGCTATTGAACCTTCCCCAAACCCCCCTGGAATAAGAGTGCATTCCACCAGAGCAGAAGCAACAACTGTAGTATCACTTCCAGAGGTACCCCTCCTTCACATCTGTAAAGCAGCCACATGGGGCTCTGTTCACACATTTCCAAGACATTATGCATTGGTACAGGACTCCTCTGCCTCCTCTGGAATGGCGGTCCTCAACTCTGCTATCTACATCCTTGCACCTTCCTCCGACTTAGGTACTGCTTGTCAGTCACCCACAGTGGAATATAATAGGATCATCACTTGAAGAAGAAAGGGAGGTTACTGACCTGTAACTGAAGGATCTTCGAGAGTCACGGTCCCTATCTGTATTCCACTGCCTGCTCTCCTCCTCTGCTTTGGATCTTATCTGATTCATGGTAGAGAAGGAACTGAGAGGCGATCAGTCCACCCCACCCTTTATCCCCTTGGAGAGAGGCATGAGGTGAACCAGGGTGCATGTGCAGACCAATAGACATAACTTTCAAATTCTTCAGCTCCTGGTGCATGGTATGCATGTGTAACCCACCATGGAGTACAGATAGGGACTACCATCTCAAAGAACCTCCAGTTACCGGTCAGTACCTCCCTTTCCAGATAAGGAGTGAGTACAGTATTGTTACCAGGTGCTTTCATTCTGCAATGGAATCAAGGTTTCCCATATGCCTTTCTATCAATTCTCCAAATCCCCAGAGTGATATCCAAAGTCAAATGAGGGCAAGCTGCGAACATTCTTATGACTTTCTACTGTTCAAGACAGTTTTGGCTGGTAGACTTGCTGCATATGTCCATTCAACTGCCTGGACCTGATTTCACAGGTCAGATACTTCATGATCAGATACACTACCCAGACACAAAGCCCCTGCATCTAACAGCCTGGACATTGGTTGCTTAAGTATCATGCACAGGGCCTTCCTCATTTAACCAGACATCCTGATACAGAAGAGGAAGACATCCATCAGAAGAACTTACTTGCCAAAAAAGGAAGAGGTTCTCTATGTGGGCAGCCCAACGTTGCCTGGACCCTAAGGGAGACTATGATATTGAACGTCCTTGACTACTTGGTACATTTAAAACACTCCAACATTTCATACAGCTCTATTGAGGTCCACCTTTCACCAATCTCAGCTTGCCATCTGTCTGTCCGGTTGTGCTCTCACATGACAGTATTGAAGTTCCCAAAGGGTTTATTATATTAACCACCAGCCAGGGAACCTGCTTCCGCCTGGAACATCAACATTGGAGCTGCCCATCATGTTGCTGTGAGGGGATGCCAGGCCTCTGGGTCCCTGGATCTCTGAGTATTTTAAGCCTCTAGAGTCAAAATGGGGTTCTCAGCCACCACTGAGAACAGCCTAGCTCCATCCTATTTGGAACCCCCCTTCAAGTAGTGGAAGGCTGCTATCAAATCCCCCCTCACTCTTTTCTTCTGCAGACTAAATAACCCCAGTTCCCTCAGCCTCTCCTCGTTAGTAATGTGCCCAAGCCCCCTAATCATTTCCGTTGCCCTCCACTGGACTCTCTCCAATTTGTCCACATCCCTTCTGTAGTGGGGGGACCAAAACTGGACGCAGTACTCCAGGTGTGGCCTCACCAATGCCGAATAGAGGGAAATAATCACTTCCCTCGATCTGCTGGCAATACGCCTACTAATACAGCCCAATATGCCATTGGCCTTCTTGGCAACAAGGGCACATTGCTGACTCATATCCAGCTTCTCGTCCTCCGTAATCCCCAGGTCCTTTTCTGCAGAGCTGCTGTTTAGCCAGTCAATCCCCAGCCTGTAGCAGTGCATGGGATTCTTCCTTCCTACATGTAGGACTCTGCACTTGTCCTTGTTGAACCTCATCAGATTTCTTTTGGCCCAGTCCTCCAATTTGTCTAGGTCACTCTGGACCCTCTCCCTACCCTCCAGCATATCTACCTCCCCCCCAGTTTCTTGTCATCTGTGAACTTACTGAGGGTGCAATTCATCCCATCATCCAGATCATTAATAAAGATGTTGAACAAAACCTGCCCCAGGACCGACCCCTGGGACACTCCTCTTGATACCAACTAGATACCAACTGCCAACTAGACATCGAGCCATTGATCACCACCCGTTGAGCCTGACCATCTAGCCAGCTTTCTATCCACCTTATAGTCCATTCATCCAGCCCATATTTCTTTAACTTGCCGGCAAGAATACTGTGGGAGACCATATCAAAAGGTTTGCTAAAGTCAAGATATATCACATCCACCGCTTTCCCCAAATCCACAGAGCCAGTTATCTCATCATAGAAGGCAATCAGGCATGACTTGCCCTTGGTGAATCCATGTTGACTGTTCCTGATCACCTTCCTCTTCTCCAGGTACTTCAAAATGGATTCCTTGAGAACCTGCTCAGTGATTTTGCCAGGGACTGAAGTGAGGCTGACCGGTCTGTAGTTCCCTGGGTCACTATATTTGCCTTTTTCCAATCGTCCGGGAACTCCCCTGGTCGCCACAGATTTTCAAAGATAATGGCCAATGGCTCTGCAATCACATCAGCCAACTCTCTCAGTACCCTTGGATGCATTAGATCTGGACCCATGGACTTGTGCATGTCCAGCTTTTCTAAATAGTCCTTAATCTGTTCTTTCACCACTGCGGCTGCTCACCTCCTCTCCATACTGTGTTGCCCAGTGCAGTAGTCTGGGAGCTGACCTTGTCTGTGAATACCAGCAAAAAAAGCATTGAGTACTTCAGCTTTTTCCACCTCCCCCCTTCAGTAAGGGTCCCACACTTTCCCTGACCTCCTTGTTGCTAACATACCTGTAGAAACCCTTCTTGTTACCCTTCACATTCCCTGCTAGCTGCAACTCCAATTGTGCCATGGCCTTCCTGATTATACCCCTGCATGCTCTAGCAATATTTTTATACTCCTCCCTAGTCATCTGTTCAAATTTCCACTTCTTGTAAGTAGAGAGTTAAAGAAACCTCTCCGACAACATAGTTCCTGTTTCTCTGCCTCCTCCCCCACAGAGCCTAGCTACAGGGCTCCCCTCCCTCCCCCAGGCCAGACACCTGCACCCTCTCTCACCCTAGAGCCCAGCTGCGGGGCCCTCCCAACCCAGACACCTGCATCCTTCCCACCCCCAGAGCCCAGCCACAGGGTGCCCCCTTGCCCAGACACTATCACCCTCAACTTCTCTAGAGCCCAGGGATCCAGAGGGAGAAATAGCCTGATGCTGGGTTGCGGAGTTGTACGGAGTTGCTTGCAGATCGCTGCCTTCTTTCAGGGGTGCAGCTGCTGGGAACCCTCCAGCTCACTCCCCCTTCCCCCGGCACTGTCTTCTATTTGTGAGCTGGGCTCTGCCTCGTCCAGCAGCCCCTAGTGGCAGCCAGCAGCTGTGCAGTCCATTTTGGGGGTAGAGGGGAGGAAATTCTGCATGCACAACATTAATTTCTGCACAAATTCTGCATGTGCAATGGTGCAGTATTCCCCGAGAAGTACTTTCAAATTCCCAGGGAACTGAGGGAGAAATTCTGCCCTTTATGTGCTTGCATGGGTGCACAAAGAGGCACAGGATGCATGTACAGCCTCAATGGACACTGCTATTCAAAAGACTCTAGTCTTGCAATCAGGAGGTGCATGCACACCTATAGTGGCATCCATACTGACAACATTTTGAAGAGCCATAATTGCCATAGGGTAAGTAACCATTCTTGTCATTTGCTCCTGTCCCACTGCAAAGTGCAATGGGCCATTTTTTTTTTAATGATCTAAAGCTTTTCCCTTTATATACATGATCTTCAAACAGCTTACCTACAAGTGTTGGATACTGAAGATTTTAGCACTGGCAGTGAATGTTGTTTTCATTTTCTGCAGTGGGAATATGAATTCTTTGGCATAAATTTGTTTAAATTATCACAGGTTTTAAGTCTTGTTAGGAACAACTCAGTCTGCCCCAGGGAGATTTTCATTCTGTCATGGATCTAGTAAATTTATACTCAGTTTAGTAAATTTAGATTCAGTTGGATTATTCCCACCCAGAGAGCTAAAGCTTCAATCTTGTGTGCTAATTTGCATTAGTTCTTTGTGTGTTGGTTTTCACTGTGTTGTAATAATCCTGGTCTCATTTTCTCACCTTGTTTTCCATTACAGCACCAAGTTCTTACCTTGTTTTCCAGTATAGAACCAGATGCAGGGGAACCTGTGCTATTAATTCAAGAAATCAAAGGATTCCTTCAAAGCGGCTGCTGTGTTCCAGATTTAAGTTCATACCATGACAGATGATACTAATTCTGCTCATCAGCTCAGGAGCTCTCAATCTGGTAGCAGAATTGCATAATCTAAGCAGAATTCATAGGCATTTTTTCCTTCCTAGCATATTTCCATTTATCTCCAAACTAGATGGGAGAGAGTTGCCTCTTATCTTCCTAATTGTGGTTGTGAATGTGCAGATTTGACATTTATTCTTTTGGGGAATGTTAGTTCCGTTCTTTATTTTAACTTGCTATTTCCCTGGCTCTCCCCCCGACCTGACAGGGAAGGACTCTCGTCTCCTTGTCTTCAGGATGAGCGCTGTACGAAATGGCATAGAAGCAAAGCAGATGGCAAAGAGCAAATATGACTGCAGAGAAAATAAACTTGAGAAAACAAAAGGTGATTTGACTCTCATTTATCAAAAGACCCAATTAAGGCATTGGGCCAGAAGCTGCCAAAGGTCCTATCGGCTCCCCCTGTAGATGTTGCAGCAACTGACCCTTAGTTATTCTCCTCTGGACAGTGGATTGAAATCCCGTGTTAGATTGTATGTGAAAATAAATTTGAACTAATCCCAATTCCCATTTGTGCACTTCACAAAAATACCACATGACTTGGTAGTTTTTACCAGGGAGAAGTTCTGAAGCAGAATAGATATATTACAAGCAGGATTGAAGGAGTCTGGCAGAGCTATGTATGGAGGCCCAGGACTGGAATAATAGGGCAGTGCTGCAGGTCAGAGTTGGTGCATTGGTGGAATTGTATGAGTTCCTAGTACGTGGAATAGCAGGGGAGTTGCACCTTATTCTTGAGTTGTATTGGAAAAGCTGAGAGCATTTCTAGATGGGGAGCAACAGAATTTTATGGGATAGAATTGAGATGCATACTACCCCTGGCACAAGCCTATGCATTTAGTCATTCACTTCCATAAGAAATTATTCATTTGCAAATTTTAGAGGGTGAAAAAATAATTAGGTTTCACTTCACAAGGAACTATGTGGAGTTCGTGGGTGTGTTTCTTGAAGGGAATGTTAATACGTGCATTATCTCCTTAGGCTGCCATTTGTATGCCATTAATACTCACCACAGCAGTGAACTGAGGATAGTTGTGGCTATTAGGAACAAACTGCTCCTCATCACAAAGAAATACAATCAAGGCAACAGTTTAACCAGTGTCTGTTTGATGTCATCACTGTCTGAATCACCAGTGGAGGAATTCCAGTACATCAGGGTATGCTTGAGACAAATCACTAAAAATACCTTCTCTCTCACTTGGTAGGGCTGACACCTGGTTCAGGAGGGGCACACATCTTGCCTTTCTAAACCCAGGATTGGTTCAAGTGAGAGTCCCAACAATGGTGATGGGAAATCCCATTACAGATAATTAAACAAAAATCCTCCACTTTTTTTAACTGGATTCTTGTTCATCAATGAAACATATCTGTGTACAGCCCGTCTGCCCTCTAGCACAGCTCACTGGGCACTACCTGTAGTACAAACTATTTCCAGTGAGAATATGAAAAGTAGAATAATTCCTTTAATTTCCATCTTAATGTAATGTCATTTACATTACAGGAGATTTGTCTCTCTGACCCTCCAGTGATCATGACTCTGGTGGATGGACCTACTGGAGACAATGACAATATGATCTGTGTAGCATATCGGCATCAGTTTGATTTAGTTAACGAGAGTACTGGGGAGTCCTACAGGTTACATCATGTTGAAGCAAGCAGGGTAAGTTCTCAGCATTAGAACAGAGTTTGCTAGTGTAACCACACCTAGCACCATAAAAGTCGATATAGCTATCCCTGAGGCCACAGTGACTTCTACCACCTTCCTTAGAGCACTAGTTTGGGAGGATCTTGGCTTTTTTGCTTTTAATTTAGTTTTCAAGCTGTTATCTCTGCTCCCACTCTTCCTGAGACCTGAGTTCTTTCTAGGGTACCTAATGGTGATTGTCCCCAGGCAATCATAAAGTAAGACATCTCTGACTGGTACTCCTAGACATATCACCAGGTGGGCAAAAGCCTTGCATCTCAGAGTCTGGAATTTCACCTTCAGCATAGCTGTAAAGCCTTTTCTTTTCTTCCTATCTCAAAGGCTTTTCTCCCTTTTAGTACAGGGTGAGAGAGAGAGAGAGTGTGTGTGTGTGGAAACTACCCTTTGTTAGCCATCAATTTCAAATTAAGATTTGCATAAACCAAGACTGAACCAGCTTTCCTTGCCTTCTCAGGTTTGAGGAATAAGCTCCCTACTGTTCGATTGCCTTTTCCAGTCTTGCATATTCCTCCTGAAGGCCTTTTGTATTCCCCTTAAGGTCTATTTTTAACATAGATTAATGACTGGGTGAGACCTCATTTGGAATACTGCATGCAGTTTTAATCTCCCATGTTTAAGAAGGATGATTTCAAAGTGGAACAGGTGCAAAGAAGAGCTTCTAGGATGATCAGAGGAATGGAAAAGCTACATTATGAGAGGAGACTGAAGCAGCTTTTCTTGTTTAGCCTAACCATACAAAGGCTGAGGGGAGATATGATTGCTCTCTACAAATAAATCAGAGGGATAAAAACCAGGGAGGGAGTCGAGTTATTTAAGTTAAGCACCACTGTTGACACAAGAACAAATAGCTATAAACTGACCATCAACAAATTTAGGCTTGAAATTAGATTAAGATTTGTAACCATCAGAGGAGAGAAGTTCTGGAACAGTCTTCCAAGGGGAGCAATGAGAGCAAAAAAACCCAACTTGTTTTAAGACTGAGCTTGATAAGTTTATGGAGGGAATGGTATGATGAGACTGCCTACAATGGGATGTGGCCCATCTGCGACAGCTAGTAGCAAATATCCCCAATGGCCAGAGATGGGGCACTAGATGGGGAGGGCCTGGTTGGTCTTGCCCACATGCTCAGGGTCCAGCTGATTGCCATATTTGAGGTCGGGAAGGAATTTCCCCCAAGTCAGATTGGCAGAGACCCTGGGTTTTTTTACCTTTCTCTGCAGCATGGAGCATGGTCACTTTCTGGTTTAAACTAGATTGTTGGATTCTCTGTAACTTGAAATCCTTTAAATCATGATTTGATGACTTCAGTAACTCAGCCAGAGGTTATTAGAGGAGTGGGTGGGTGAGGTTCTTTGTCCTGTGAAGGCCAGGAGTGCAGGCTAGATCAGGGGTGGGCAAACTTTTTGGTCCAAGGGCCTCATCTGGGTATGGACATTTTATGGCAGGCCATGAATGCTCACAAAATTGGGGGTTGGGGTGCGGGAGGGGGTGAGGGCTCTGGCTGGGGGGGTGGGCTCTGGGGTGGCGCCAGAAATGAGAAGTTCAGGTTGCAGGAGGGGGCTCTGGGCTGGGGCAGGGCGTTGAGGGAAGGGGGGAGGGCTCAGCTGGGGGTGCGGTCTCTGGGGTGGGGCTGGGGATGAGGGGTTGGGGGTGCAGGAAATTGTTCCGGGCTGGAACAGAGGGGTTCGGAGGGGGGGAGAGGGATCAGGGCTGGGGCAGGGGGTTGGGGCACGGGAGAGGGTCAGGGGTGCAGGCTCCAGGTGGCGCTTACCTCAAGCAGCTCCCAGAAGCAGCGGCAGGTCCCCCCTCTGGCTCCTGTGCGGAGGCGAGGCCAGGGGGCTCTGCATGTTGCTTTACTGCATTATATCCGGATTCGTGTGGAGCCCCGGACCCTTTAAAGCGCCGCCTGAGCCCCGCTGCTTTGCTGCGTTATATCCGAATTCGTGTGGAGCCCCGGGCCCTTTAAAACGCCGCCCAAGTCCCGCTGCCGGAGCTTCGGTGGTGACCCTTGGGCTCCCTGCAGTGGCTGGAGCATCAGGTCCTTTAAATCACCGCTGGGGAAGCCTGACCGTACCGGCTTACTTTAACCTCTGGATATAACACGGTTTCACCTATAACGCGGTGAGATTTTTTGGCTCCAGAGGACCGCGTTATATCAGGGTAGAGGTGTATATGGTAAAAATAAGAAAGTAAGCAATTTTTCAGTAAGTGTGTGCTGTGACTCTTCTGTATTTTTATGTCTGTTTTTTGTAAGCAAGTAGTTTTTAAGTGAGGCGAAACTTGGGGATATGCAAGACAAATCAGGCTTTGGAAAGGGGTATATTAGTGTGGAAAGGTTGAGAGCCACTGTTATGGAGTATTATGAAAGTGATACAATTTAAAAAAGCAAACCTGAGCACTTATCAGTGCTTTTGTGCCTTTTCATGAAGTTTTAAATACCAACCACAACTGCCTAAAACTACTTCTTACATTCTTGGAGTATTGTGTGAGAATTTCTTAATAACTTGAACTCAAGAAATGGCTTTTAGTCTTATCTAAGAAATCACTGCCCAATGCAGTACTGAAATGGGGAAACAAGCAGAATTAGCTCTGTATTTCCAGTGGCCAAAATATTCTAACTTGGTTGTTTGAAGTTAGACATCTAAATAAATGCCAATTTTTCAGAAATTTTGAGTACCCACAATTCCTATTGATTTCTGTCCGAGCCTGGGATGGTCAGTATCTCTGAAAGTCAAGTCATTTTTATTTGTGTCTAAATATGGATTTAGGTGTCTGGCTGTAGATACCCAAGTTTGAATATTTTGAGCAGTCTGTTTATGCTGATAGTCTTCCTCAAAATGCAAATAGATAAATTCTCCTCTCTTCTGATGGTTCTTGGTTTTATTTAATTTACTTTTTGTTTTATTTTTTACCTCTTATGTTTTTTGCGTGAATTTAGTGATGATGAAAGGGACCAGGTTTGACAGCCTTGGAGACTGAGCAGGTACCGCATGGATAGTTGCAATGCAAACGTCCCCGTGTGGTCTTGCCAATTTTCCTCAATTCTGATCTGAAGAATCTACTTCTAGGGATGAGAGGGGACTTCATTCACCATGGCCCGTTCAGTCACTGCCCTATTGACTGAGGCTACCAACAAGGCTGTCAGTTGGTACCAATTATGGTTGTTGTTTTTGGGATGTGGACACTGGCCTCTGGGAATTGGACTTGGTGCCCATCAAATCATTTCACTTAGGTCACCAAACAGCTGTCATTTGGTAACAGCTTTTTGTCACTACAGATCTGGGATAGGTCTGAACTGGTGGTATGTGTATGTATGTATAATATCCCTATGGGTGCTCCACTGTAGATGCGCTTGCATCCCTACATTGCTGATTGGAGAACTTTGGTAGCAGTGTCCATTCGGCCCGCACATCCACTATACTCCCTCATGCCCCACCAGGAGGCTAACCAGCTTGTGTGGGTGAACCCCCTCCTCAGTTCCTTTTCAACCGCCCCTGGCTAGAGACGGAGTCATTAGCAGTCTGTTTGTGATCGTTATCTCTATTCTTTTCATTAGCATTTTTAGTAGCTAGTTAATCTTCCCTCCTTCCTTAGCTGTACATTTTCTTTATTTTCTCCTAAAAAAACAAAAACCACTTTTAATTTTCCCCCTTTGTAGGGGACCCTTTCCCCACAGCAGGGTATGCCTGGCTCACCAGGCTACAATAAGTGCATTCTATGTAAAGAGGCCATCCCTATGGCAGATAAACATATACGCTGCCTAGGGAAAGGTCACGTTCCTCAGAAGTGTGGTCTCTGTCAACAATTTAAACCAAGGTCTCGTAAGGACATGGAACTGAGACAAAAAATCAGCCTGATGGCGGCAGCCCGGCAGCCTTCCCTTGACCCACACTAGGAATCACTTAGAAGATTTGAATCTTCCCCACAGCCCTCGATGTCCAAGGACTATGGGTCGAAGAAATCAGCTGCAGATCTCTCCTGAAAGGTATCTAAAAAGAGATATGTGAGCCTTGAGCTAGCCGAAAAGGATCACCGGCATGCTCGGAATCGTTGGTACCAAGACCGTCCAAGCACTAGCGTAGCTAGTGGGGTGCAGGGGAAGCAGCCGCTTCCCCTCATCACATTTTTGAAAAGCGGCGCCTAAAAGGGCCCCGCAGCTGTCCACCCCTTCCCTAGCTCACTTCCCCCTCCTCCCCTCCCCTGAACGCTCCGCCCCCCTGCTCCTCCCCCTCCCCTGCTTCCCGCGAATCACACGTTCGCGGGAAGTCTAAAAACAAGCAGGGGGCAGGCCGGCGCCAGCAACAGGTAAGCTGGGGGGGGGGAGACGCGAGAAGGAGGGCTCCGGGGAGACGAGACGCGGCGCGGCCCACTCCGGCCCTGGCCGAGCAGCTCCCACTGGCCCCGGCCAAGCGGCTCCGGCCAGCCCCGGGACACCGGCCCGCTCCCGGCCCTGGTGGCTCTGGCCCGGCTCGGCCCCAGCAGCGCCGTCCGAGCACCCCGGCGGCTCCGGCCCCAGCAGCTTCAGCTCGGCCCGGGCCCCGCGGCGCCGGCCCACTCCCCGGTTACCATTCGTCCGGATTCCCCCGGACATGTCCGGCTTTTCGAGCTAAAAATAGCATCTGGGGGGAATTTGTAAATGTCCGGACTTCCCCCCCCATGCAGAGCGCACGCGGCTGACAGGGCAGCCGGCCGGATGGTGCCACTTACATGGGGCTCCGACAGCCAGAGAGAGCCTCTCCTCCGCTTCCCCTGCAGCAGAGATCACTCCCTCCCTCCCTGCATTCGCAGATCGCCTCGGGCAGTCTGGAGCTCCTCCCCCGCTCCTCCTCCCCTGCTGCCCAGCGTGCTGGGACGAGCGGCAGAGTAAGGGGGCCAGGGGGTCGGAGGAGGGGCAGGGAGGTTCTGGAGGGGGCAGTCAAGGGACGGGGGGAGGTCGGGAGTTC